TCCCCCGGCCCCCACGTTGCTGAAAATAGTGTTTTCAAGGGGGGGGGGTGGGGCGCGGAGAAACCCAACGCACATGGTGAAATGTTTCCATTCTGAAATGTCCTTGTAGTCTCCTCCCTCGCGGTCACCGTCCCGGAGCACACCCTGGCAAGCAGCACCCACGGGTGCCAGGGGCAGCTTCGGAGCCCCAGGGAAGGACTCCAGGCCAGGGAGAAAGGGAATAGCTCTACACCGTGCCTGGGGCAGCCAGCAGCGCAACAGTCTGCTTTGGGGTTTCACCCCCCACCCAAAGCAAAATCAAGACATTTTTCTAGTGGGGAACACGCGCTTTTTAATTAAAAAAAAAGAAAAACTGGAGTAAAAATATATGGGGAGTTTTTCCCTGCTGTTAATTACAGCCTATTAACGGTGCCACCAGGGGAGAGGGAAACAGGAGATGATGATCAAAAAGGCTTTGAACCCAGGACAGGGCGGCCCCGCTCCGGCAGCTGCCCCATGCTGGCGCAGGGGACTCTGCCTGCAACGCGGCCGGGAGGCGTTGGGCTCCGCCAGCCCCCCGCTGCCCCGGCAAAAGCCCTTCCCCGAAAAGGGGTGATCGCACCCTGCCTCCGGGCTGGCTTAGTAAGCAAAATTGGGAGGGGGAGGATTTTGCCAATCAGCTTAACCTAAAGCCATCACCGACGCCTGCTAGGATGCAGGTTAATGCACCAGGGCGACGTTGGGCTGGCAGGCAGCTCCACACACGGTTAAGAGGTTTTGGGGAGCAGATGAAGACGGGTGGGGAGCAAATTTCCCCAAACCAGCCCCCCTGAAGCACAGGGCAGAGAGATGGGAAGAGAGAGGAGGCTGCTCCGTTTGGCAACCTTAGCATGGGGGCCTTGAACTCAAGCCAAAATTTCAGAGCGGGTTCCCCCACTACAACCCCCAAACCCGAGACCTCTCCTTCCCGACGGTGCCGGAGGTCACAGCGCGGCATGCCAGCATCCCGCCGCCCCTCGCCTCCGGTGACAGCAGGACGCACCGGGCGCCGCTGCCATTTTGTTTCAGAGGCTTAAACGTTAAGTAAACAAAGGTCAAAATGTCAGAGGACGGATCTCCTAAATGACCTAATTTTTAAAAGAGCTTAGCAGCTCTATTTGCCGCAGCGCTGGCAACGTTACACAAATAACTCAACAGGTTGTGGCATCAGGCGGATCGCGATTACTCCTAAACCAGAGGAAAACCAGGGTAACGCCACGTTAGTTTATCTGGTCAGCAACAGCCAGGCCTCCCCGTCTGATAATATACTGCTGCTTCCACGCATGGCTTGCGTGGTGAAGCACCGAGCCAAACGCCTCTGCCGTCGGCAGATAACCTCGGAGGCTGAACCACAGGGCTCCTGGCGCCGGCGCAGGAAGACGAAGGATGCAACCCAGTGCCAGCTCTGCACCGTATTGCTCTGAAATGCGCTACCTTCACCTGATGGTCTTTCCTGCCGCGCTCGGTTCACGTGGGATGGCAAGCGGGGCTGGTACCAGCAATCTGCGGCACGCTTGGATCAGCGGGAATCTTGCGGGATGGGGGAAATTGGGAAAGGGAGGGCAGCCCCCTGGACAGCCCCAGCACCCTCCTTCCTCATCACGTACGAAGGGGAAAAAGCAGCAAACACCTCAGCAGCAGAAATTTTACATTTAATTGTCTAGGAAAACAAGGCAGAAGGAAGAACGGCAAACTTTTCTGGATGGGAATGTAGCTAGCCTATTGAAATAAAACAACTCCACAAGCCGGGCAAGAAAAAGCTGAACTTGCCAGCAGAAGGTGCTGTTTCTGCTGCCGGGGAGATGCCAGCTGGCACATGTGGCAAGCCCAGACGCACCGGGACTCGCCCAAGTTGCCCCTTCGCAGCCACAGCCCAGGGGCACCGACCAGAAAAGGTGGTGAAACCCCAGAACCACAGCAATGACCGGGACGGAGGCAGGTCTTGGCAGAAAACGCCAGGAATCTCCCCAAATGCCACCTCACTCCTGACCAAATTACTGAAATCCTGCAGATGGGCGTTAAGGGATCTCGGGAAGGAATAAAAATAAAAATCAGAAGATACTGGGAACAAATCCCTTGAATAGGAAAGTGGTTTCCCTTGGAAATCCTATCTGTTGGATTTACCTCTGCAAATTTTAGCATGCAAAGGTGAAGCACGGCAGAGGGCACCTTGAGCAAGGTGCATCCAGAAACCGGCTGGGAGCATTCGGTATTTCCAGCTCTTCATGGCATTGCTTCGTTGGGAGTCCTGGCATCCCCCTCCCGCCTTTTCCACCCCCGCCAGCTCTTTCTGTTAGGAAAAACTTCTTCCCCAAAGGGCTGTCAGGCCCTGGCCCAGGCTGCCCAGGGCAGGGGCTGAGTCCCCATCCCTGGGGGGATTTAGAAGCCGGGGAGATGTGGTGCCTGGGGACATGGTTTAGTGGTGGCCTTGGCAGTGCTGGGTTAGCAGTTGGACTCGATGATTTTAAGGGTCTTTTCCAACCTTAATGATCCTATGATTCCCCTGCCCCTCGCCTGCCCACGCTGCCTTCGACCCTGCTTAATAAGCGATTTCCCAACCTCTGTCCTCTCCCCAGCGTGTTCTCTCTTGCAGGATCCCACTGTGCCAGGCTCAGACGAAGCCTCCTCAGGGTCTGCCTTCACCCAGGGCTTTTGCAGAGAAACCCCCGCGCACCATTTGCGCTCTTCTCCTCCCAAAGGCAGATTTGTTCCCGGGCTCGGAGACAAGGCAGCAGAATAAAAAAATCCTCTTTCCCAAGGTTGCCGCGAGCTCCAGCAGCAGCAGGGTTTGGCCTCGGTTCCCGGGACCACAGCAGCATCTCACCTCCACCAGAGCAAACCACGCTTTTACATGAACTTGTGGTTTTGCCATTTCTCTCCCCAAGACAAGCCCCGCTCACGGATGCGTACAAATAAGCCAAGAAAAGGCGATTTAACACTGCCTATGGGTTTTGCCAGCGCCTGCTGGGAGGAAGGCGGGTGCTTTGCCGAGGCGCAGCGCCCCGCGCTCCTGCCAGCCCACGGGGAGTTCACGCCAGTGCCCCCGCATCACCCCGTCCCCGCGCTCCGAAACAGAGCCCCAGTGCAGCCCCCGGCACCCACCGCCCCAGCCACGGCACAGCCACCCACCGTGCGCCTCCCCACAGCCCCGCACCGGTAATTCCATTAGAGTTACGGCCTGGGGAAAAAGGGGAGGAAAAACACAGCCGAGAATTAAAAGGGGAGAGAAAAAAAAAAAAAGTTAAAAAACCAGGAGCAGCGACAAAACCCATCCATGGGCAGATTAAAACCATTGTCCAGGAAGAACCCAATCCACACCAGCTTACAATGCACACAAGATTAGAAACACTCCTCTGAAAAGAAGCTAATTACTAGAAATAATTACTATAAAGAAATCTGTTATGGCTTATCAGTTTCCCTGCTGTTTAAGCAATCCCCCCCTGCCTGCCCCCACTGAAGATGAATGGTAAAAGAGTGGCAGATTTTGAAGATTGGTGATTTAAAACAAACAGAAAAGCCCTTCTCGCCCTTTGGGACGAGCCGGTTCCTCACCGTGTTGTGTCCTGGCACCACCCCGGGCAGCCAGGGATGGTCCTCGTCCCCTCTCCCCACTCGAGGCTGGGATGCTCAGGCCCCACCAGGACGTCACCCGTCCTCCCGGGAGCAGCACCGAGGGCTCAAAGCTTGAAAACTTGGAGGAGGGAGCGATGGAGCTCGCAGGCATTGCTACTGCACCCTGCTCATCGGGTTCACCGACCCCCGCCTGGCAGCCTCCGGTGACTTTTATTCAGAGCACTGACAGTATTGCCATTCAGAGACTGACTTTTTTTTTTTTTCTTCTTAATTCAGGTTATCCCATCCAGTACAATGCAGGCCAGAGCTCCCTGCCCAGTTAAGTCTTGCAGACAGCTCTGGTTTTCCCCATCACCTTGTGGAGCTGAAGCTGTGGGAGAGAGGGAACCTGGACTTTGGAAAGCATCCGACTGAAGCTTGCCCTCGCACCATCCCCTTCAAAAAGTGCATGAGCGGCGTCACCCGCAGCTCTCGGGGAGCCCTGAGGAGCAGCACCCACAGGTCCCGCTGTCAGCACAGCCCCTCTCCTGCTCTGTGCTCCAGGTGCCTCCCAAAGCCAAGCTCCCATGGTGCCAGATGCTGTACATTCATCTAAACAACATCTGTAAGCCCCAAACACCACTTCTGTGTGTCCCAGCTGAATAGAAATCAGTATTTTTCCTTTCAAAGCATGCTACGTGAATTCAAATCGGTTCTGGACTAGGCATGCACCCTGCGATCTGCAGGGCCATCATCCCGAGAGCGCCTTGGACCGGGGCCGCCCGTGGATGAGCAGGCAGGCAACCGTCCCTCCAGCCAGCAGCGCCAGTGCCTCCCGCTGCCGGCACTGCTGCCCGTTTGTCCTCCGGGATTAAATCTGTCCAGCACTTTGCACCAGAGCTTTGTGCTCCCCCAGCACGGGCTGTTGAAGTGTCTTCCTCCTCCCCAGGAGCTCAGCAGCCCCCTCCACACCACACTTGGGGGGGGATCCTGGGCATGGGACGAGGGTGTGGGCTGGGGTGATGGCACAAGGGACCTGCCTCGACAGGCAGGCAGGAACAAGGGCAGGGACTCAGCCTCCCGGGAGGTTCGGGGATGTGCTGGCAGTGCCCTGCCTCCCCCCGAACTCGGATCCGCTTTCCTTCTCTCCCGAGCCATGCAAATCCCTCCAGCTCTGCTCTTCTCCTGGAGTTTGCTCTCAATTTTCCCCATCCCTAACCAAATACACCCAAAATCAATGCTCTGCGCTGCTTCTGTGTGTGATCACCGCTGCTCGCAAGCCAGACCCACCTGCAGCCAGAGCTTCCCTGGCCAGCCCTGCAAAGCCAGCTCCCAGCGCAGGGACACGCCGGGAAGAAATTTGGATGAACAAGCTTGCACGTCCCCCTGCTCCTTTATCCAAACAGCCACTACACCCTGCAGTTCCCAAATCTCTCTGCTCGCACCCCTGCTCACATCAGATCGGTTTGTGAGCAGCGAAATGGCTCATGCGGGAAGAAGAGCACCCAGCTGCAGCCCTGCTCCTCCTCCTGCACACCACGGCCCCAAAACACCATCAGCCTTCAGGGGGAGGTGAAGTCTCCACCCTCGAAAGGACACGACCACCGCTTCAAAGCTCGGGCTGGCAGGAGTTCCCCAGCCCACCAAAGTCTGGTGAGAGTGGAGCCTCCTTTCCATTTGCCAGATGCATGTGGAAAATAGAGCCAAAAAAATCACAGTTTAGCTCCATTTCTCCAACAAGTGCTGCCTGGCCAGCAGCGTCCCTTCGCTGCTGAAGGGTGCTCGTGGTCCCTAAGGCACGTTGTTAGAGGATGGCTGGCTGAAGGCTGCCTCTGGGACGCTGTGCTGACTCAAGAAACACAAAAGGAGAGGACACGGGTTCCCGGCGGAGGCCGGCACCACCCCAACCAAGCGGCAGCCGGCGGAGACCAGCGCTCGGAGCTTGTGCCAATGGGGGATGCCAATGTGCACGTTTTCTTTGTGGGGCCCTTTCAGCTCAGCCTCCCTCTCTAGCTGGCCAAGTCCATCATTTCCAACACAGATCATGTTCTTCCTGAAACGTTTCTTCCAGCAGTTTCTGATCCTCCTTGAAGAAACAGAGGTCGGGCAGGAAAGAGATACAAATTCTGGTTTTGGAGAAGGGCTTAGATGATACTCTCATGCACCTTTTGCCCACTCAGTACCACTGGACGTGTCCATCCTAATCTGCTCCTTCCATCTCCTCACATTTTAAAATCCATCGGTTCCACTCAATTGCCCCATTAGCAGGAGCTCGCCCGGCCCGCTGCCCCCGGGGGGACGTCGCTGGAAACCAGGGACTGGCAGCTGAAGTGACGCATCTCCAAACCCCACCTTTCCTTCCCACTTTACCACTGCTTTTACACTATTGTATGCTAAAGCATTATTTTTTTTTTTCTGCTTTCCTTTCTCTCCCCTTCCACTTAGCATTTTGCCACTTGAAAAGTTTTCAGAAACAGCTTAGGAAAGAGGAAGAGAATATCCCACCCGTGGCCTTCCTCCAGTCCATCCTTCTCAACACACAAGCACAGAGGCAAAGCAAAACTTATTTATGTATTTTGGAACCTGCTCCAGGAATTGATGTTTTCTACTTTAACCACATTCAATTTTAGGAACAAAAGCAACTTTGAAATATGAGGAGCCCCGTGCCCCTCCTGGCTGCTCTCTCCCGGCCTCCCCAGCTCCTGTTTCGGCGGTGAAGCTCCCGGTGCTCCAGCCGACCGCCCAGGCCAGCGGCCGAGACCTTGCACCGGCGTGGGGAGACGCAGGCCCACCGGCACTCGAGCCTCTGGCACAATGCGTGGCCGCCGTCCTGCCAGCCATGAGGCTGCACCTCGCCCTCCGCTGCGGAGACAGCCGGTGGAAATCGCCCGCTGGAGCAGCAGAGGCTCCGGCTCCGTGTGCTGGGGACCAGTTGGGCTCGCAGCCTTGCCGGGGAGTGCCGCTGCGCTTGCCAAAGACTGGGAGCCCTGTCTTTGAGAGGAAGCCAAACGCGTCTTCCCTGCACACATCAAAGGGGAAACCTCCGTGTTCCTCCCCGGGCAGCTCCTTCTCGGCTGGAAACTCTCAAGGCTGCTTCAGCCCCAGGCGTGGGACGGGTTGGGATGGGTCCCCCCCACGCACACCCCCAAGAAACCTTGCTGAACTGCATCAAGGCTCCCCTGACTTATTAAGAAACATCTCTCCTGCTTTGCTTACATCCTCCTGGGGCAGAAAATGAGAAGGAATAACCTCCCTTGCAGAGGGACAGGGGGGAGCTGCTCAGAAATGCTCTTCCACGCCTGCGCAGGACCCTCGAGGGGCAATTAAACATTGTCCCCCCCGACAGCAAGAGGAGCGAAAGCGGGGAGCAGAGCTGAGAGCGAGCCCCTCACCCCAGACGCAAGCCAGGAGGAGCAAATGCGTCGCTCCCCAGCACAACCCCACTCCTCTCTTCCCCTTTCCGACCACCTCCTCAGGAGGAACCTCCTATCGCGGTGGGGATTTTCTGTTTCAAGCACAATTCCCTCTTCTAACCCCACCCTTCACACGACGAACAAACACCGCTAGCTGCAGGGCCCTGCCCCGACACCGCTCCTTCCGCACTCGCTGGAGGGCTTTAACCACCACTGTGTGGGCAAAGGTGGGGAGGACTAACCCCAATTCCTGACCTAATGTCATTAGAGCTCTCTAAGCCCTTCAGGATGGATATTTTCTGCTCTTAATCTCTCCGCCCACCCCCGCGCTGGGAGAGGTAACTGGGTAAATCGTCGCACGCATCCGGTCACGCACGATCACCACCTCCGGCACAGCAGGTGGAGCCGGGGCCGCACGGCACTCGCCGGTCCCCGTGAGCTCCTCATCTTGCCCAGTTGCAGCAGGGGATGGAGGAGCTGGACAGGGCTGCTGGAGCCTTGCAGGACACAAGAAGAGGCCCTCCAAACCCCACTGCAGCAAGGGGAAGCCCCTCCAGCTCTCCGCGGAGATTGCACCGCCCTGGGGCTGCAAGGCTGGAAAGCAAAGCAGCCACGAGCCTGTTGCAAGACCTTAATGATGAGCTGTGTCTTTTCTCCCCCTCTCTCCTGGTGCTTTTCCACCCTTGATTACCAGCTCCCAAGAGCAAACTCAGCCCATCCCGTGCCAACACTGCAGGCATCAATCTCCGCTATTGCTTCTGGATGCTACTGTAAAGCAGGGAAAAATAATCGTGCGGATAAAATATGGCAGCTGTCACGCACGTCAGGCACTGATGAGACCCTCTGGACAGCAGCTCCTTTAACAACAGCTTTGAAAACACCTTCTGGAGCAGGTCTGACACGGGGAACAGCGACGCCGGGCAGTGCGAACGCTCCCACTACCACGTGCCATTCTGCGTTAGATCTCCCCTGCTTTGACCACCCACCCGCCGGGCAGCTGAAAGGCACTTACCCACTAGTCCAGCTCCCAGGAATGGTGATGAAGATATGCTGTTGTGAGACGGCAGGTCCCTGTGCTCGCCGTAGTGGGGGCCTTCGCCGTAGCTCTGCTGAAGCAACACGGGAGAGTTACCGCCGGGCGCGTGGGGATGCCGAGCCAAATACCAAAACACGAGGCTGTCAAAGCTCAGTCTCTCCCATAGCAGGAAGGGTCAAAGTCAAAGGCTCCTCGTAAAAAGGGCACAGAAATCATCTTATCCGCATGGCAAGGGAGAGCCGGGTGGCGCAGCCACGAGGCTGCGGCACTGGGAGGGGATACGGCACCAAAGCAGGGACACACGAGGGGTTTGCCCCATGCTGGCAGCTCTCAGGCAGCTTCTGCCTTCGCCCAGCAGCTCAGCACCCACCAGGTGAGAGCCCAGCAGCCCCCTCCCCAAGCCAGGGGGGCAAAGGGGCAAGGAGAAGGCCTGTAAAAATGAGAAATTACACCACAGCACCTGCTCTGCCGCTGACCTAAGGGAAGGGAAAGGTGCCATTGCAAAAACGAATCACACAAACCCATTAAAAGGAGCATCTGTCAAAATAACACCATTTCAATTCAGTTAACGTCTTTTCTCTCTTCCCCTCCTCAGGCCCCAGTTACAAGCTATCGCAGCCTCGACTCCTTCCCTGCAAAACCCTTCCCGTGCTCTGCATCCGCGCCGATGGTGCCTCAGCCGGCCGACGTGGCAGATTCCCCCCAGAGCAACCCCCTTGGGCTCCCAAAGCCACACGTGGTGGGTGCCCAGCAAGCTTTGCCGAAGGCACAGCCCATCAGGTGAGATCCCTCAACCTGCTCGGCTGCGACCCCATTTGGGCACCTCTCCCACACCGTAGCCAGGAGCCCCCCTCTCCCCGCACCACAGCCAAGCGTGGAGGGGAGGTTTTTGGAGGAGAAGCCTTCTCCAGGGGGACCTCAAGGCAGCAAAGCCTGGGGAGATGGGGAGCCCCTCAACCCGCTGTTGTCCCTGCAGGGTTAACAGAACCAATGTCCAAAATGGGGCAAGAAAAGCTGGTCCCAAACTGGGCACAAACACAGGCACTGAGAAGCCATGGTAAAGCCCTCGTTTATTTTGGTTGGAGCTTGGTGTTTGTGCTTCGTCCTTACCCTTCCTTGGTCAAATGTGGAGCTGTTTTGATCTCCCGTTCCCCAGGAACCTGATCCTGGTCTTTCATCCAAACCTACCGAAAAACAGGAAGAACAAAGGTTACTCTTGCTTTATCAGCAAAGCCTCAAAGGTGTTCTCGCAAAATTAACTCTTCCTTCTACAAACAAAACAATATTTTCATTAATAAGCCACTTCCACTTGGCGTGACCGATCCTCCCTGCTCCCTCCTCACCTTCCCACTCCAGCTGGGAGTTTATTCCACAAACTTCAAAGCAAATCCCACCACAGCCTGGAAACACTTCAAAACATGGGACAGCGGGAAGAGGAGAAACAAGTATTTTAACTTGCTTTAGTCCAGAGAGCACCCACGAACCTCTTCTCCCCAGAGACCAACGGTGAAGAGGACTATGAATTAAAAACTCATTGCACCCATCCCGATGCCCCAGTGGGACCCGATTTTTGTCCGTGGTGCTGCTAGGTCACAGGCCAAACTGTTCTTCATTGCACCCAAGCAGATTAAAAGAGCGCCCAGACCTGAAAGAGCCTCGGATGGGAATTGCTGGGGGTACAACGTTACCTGTGGCTTAGTTAAACTCGTTCAAGAGCATTTGTTATTTAAGCCCCATCCCGCTCCCGCAGAAGAAGGTGCGCTGCCAACACAGGGCTGAGCAGCGCACGCTCCCGTTCATCTCATCTTTAGCCCTCCCAAGCGTCTGCTTGGCAAAGGGGATCCCACCCAAAATGGCAAGGGACCGAACAGGAGGGTTTTGCAGTGTGCCTGCACACAGACTGCGGCAGGAAATCGTCTCCTTTCATCGTCTGCCAGGTCCACCCAGGCTGCACCTCTTGGGCTACCAGCACACGAGGCACCCAGGGGAGAAGGTGAATGTCTACCAGGACAAAAAAAGCCCGGGGAGTCACATCAGCAAAGCTCTCGCAGTTCAAGCTGGCACCACGACTGCACGGCAGAAACCCTTCCTGGCAGCCGAGCCTCGACTCGACAGCAGGATTTCCGACTGTGCTGGTCCGTCCCCTCCGCTCCGGGTGAGCAGGGGTCAGTGAGCAGCAGTCGGCGTCCCCCCATTCAAAGGCTTGCAGGGGTAAAGCCGGGGATTTGAGAGGGGGCTGGGCAAGGTGGGGGCATCATTCTGCTCTGCGGCCAGGCTTTGGAGATGCTACGTAGATACCGTGAGCTCAGCCGGGGCGGACAGGGAGAAATCCGGGATTTGCAGGAGGCCGAGCAGCGCGGATGGCACCGGCCAGAGCCATCTCTCTGCCTCATCCCACGGAAACCCCAACCCCACCGCGGGGGGCGTATGGCCACATTTGCCATGGGGTGGCACGAAAAACCTCTTGCAGTGGTTCCTGGCGGCGTCCAGCATCGCCCTGTGCCACCCCCAGAGCTGGGGACCCCCTCCACACCGGGCCTTCCAACGACAGCGAAGAGCCAACAGCCGAGGTGCCAAGAGGCCCTTACGGGAGATTTTCTTTTAGAAGCAGAGACCCGCTCGCGGCGGCGGTGACAGCGGAGGCACAGGACGGTGGCAGGGACGGGGGTAGTGCAGGAGCAAGGACACGGCGGGGCAGGGTTGCAGGGCGCACTCCAATTTCGTTTTAGCAAAGCTGATTATTATGGCAAACACGCCATGTATTTGTCTCCTCCGCTCCCCTTACTGTTCATTTAACCAGAAACTTCTTTCAAATTACATCCTTCTATTTCTGTGCCTTTGTGTTAATCATTTCCCCAGAGAATTGGTGTTTAATTGCTGTCTAATTTGCATAATTATGCATATTAATCTCCACACCTAATGAATATTCATAATTCTCATTTAGATTTTGTTTTCTAATCAAAAATTTCCAATGTGATTACTGTGCAGAGCAGGGATAAGCCTCTAATAATACCTTGGATACTAGGGAGAATTACTGCCAATTCTCCCACCTCCTACTTCCTAGAATAAACTTTTGCTTTGCTAATGTGTTTTTCTAAAGCAATTCATCTGCATACCCTGCAAACACCAACGGAGATCAGGAGGCAGAAATGCTCCTTCTATTCATTTTGCTTTCACGGGTATTTTTAAAGCTCCCCAACAGTCAGGGTGAAGACACAAGCAGGAACCGCAGCCTCAGACATCCTTGGCAAACTCACCCCTTCGCGCTGGAAGGACGAGGACCGCGGCATCGACCAGGCTTTGGCTGTGGCCGGTGCCCCCACGAGGCGCCTCGGGAGCCCCAGAACCAGAGGGGAAGCTGAGGCATGGGGGTCTCGACTCCCACCCCTGCACCGTGCAGGATGGGTGTTTGCGGGTCCTGGGTCACCCTGCCCTCCCGCAGAGCCACCCCGTCCTGTCTCCAACCCACCCGACGGCAGAGGAGCATCCCCAGGCCAGGATGCTCAGTGGGGCAGGCTGGGGGGGCTCTGGAGGGAGCTCAGGTGCCTGGAAGCCCAGGATGAATATTTTGCCAAAATTCCTGGGGGGGTGGGGGCGGGAATGACTGCCATGCCTCCCCAAGGAAGGAGGGAAGAGGAGGAGGCAGGTGGTACAGGTGACAAAAGCGGAGGCCAAGGGGCTAATGTGACCCCTGGACACGGAGAAACCCTCTGCACCAGCTACTTCCACACTGTGGTGCCACCAGCGCACCCCAAAGAGGGGTCAAAACCGCGCCGGGTGCTCCAACAGCGCGCACGCACCACGGCAGGCTGCGGAGGACGAGCTGCTCTCCCAGAGCATGTGCGAGCCTCGGGCACCCCTCTTTCCCCCTCACTGCTCTTGGGGAGACACGGAGCTGGGGGCAAGCAGCCCCCCCCCCCCCCCCCCCCTCCCCCACGCCAGCCGAGCAGGAGCCAGGAGGGAAACCCTCGCCTCCTCCCATCGGCTCCACAGCGCGCAACCTGCACGCACAGCGGTGGCCAGATCCTGCAACAGCAAACCAACCCCCAGGGAAACCCAAAAGGCCTTTTTTTCCATCCAGGCGCTGGTGTTCACGTGGTCACGCGGCTGCCAAGGTGAAGTGAGGTTATCGCTCTCCCACCCGAGCGGCAAAGAAAGCGGCACACGGCTCGGGAAGCGGCCCCAAAGGCTCAGCCGCCTCCGAACGTGCCCGTGCTGACGTGCCACTACAGAGCCAGCCCGCTGTCCGATGCCTGCTGGAAAAAAAGGTCTCACGCCTTCCCTGAGCTGCAGTCACCAGCATGAAAGGTGCCAGCAAAAATCTCCCATTTTCAGCCTGCAGGTGTTTTAAGGATTCAGGGATTTCTGGGATGAAGCCAGGAAAAAACAGACTGCCCTCTTTCGACTTCTGGCATCTGTCCTACATTCAATGCCAACCTGCTCTTTCCTGCCTTTGTATCAGAGTCACTATCTAAAATTTGGCAGCAAATGCCCTCGGCCAACCTTGCAAAAACCCAAAGTTTGGCCAAGGGCAGGCGCTTCTGGAAAAGCCCCCATCAGCAGGGTTTTGCTCCACTCACACCATAAAATCCCTGAAAACGGTGCCACCGCCAAACGTGGTCACGCTTTCCCCAGCACGTGGTGCTCACCGGCGGCGCCCTCGAGCCCGGCTCGACCCAAGTGGAGGAAGAGGAAGGAGCAGAAGACGGGGAAGCCTGGAGAGAGGAGGACACCGGCATCCCTGGGGCTCTCCCTGAGTGCTCGCCCAAGGGTGCCCAAGCGTCTTAGCCGGACCCTGTTGTCCCGGCAGCTCGGGAGGCGAGGCCAGGTGCCCGGGGGACGGCCAGAAGCACCTTGGGGCACCCGGTGACGTGTTTCTTGCCTACGGGCGCTGCTCACGTGCTGCCAGGCTCCCCCAGGCGAGACAGAGATCCTGCACGCATCTCCCTCGCCCCCCAACTCTGCCTCACCCCCAGGCACAGATTTCCTGCATTAAAGCACGCACGGTCCCGGGCAAAAAAAAAAAAATCATAAATCCAAGTCACCAACCCAGATCGTGTCAAAACTCACGTGGCACGGAGCTGAATGACATTTGCACAACCGAGCTTAATTCTGGCATATCCCAGCTTTGGAGTGCTCGGCTTTGCAACATTTACAACGCTCTT